TCCAATATGACATAAACAACGTGACACGACTCTTGCACAAGTCGTACACACCTCGTCAACGAAACTCTTACTTACGCCGACCCTTTCGTCAAGGCAATGACACCGATCGTCGCATTGCCTCACGATGATAAAGGCATTTTTTTTTGCGCATCGCCGCCTACTCCTGGTACAAGCGGGGTGCCGATATCGTGATGGGGACTATACGTGCTTGCATGGATTTGGCGTTGAGAAGCACGTCGGCCACGGCATCTGCCTGCTGCACGTGGCGGCGGGTAATGGCTCCAGCTATGCAGCAAAAGTCCTGGGCGACGTCGGCCTTAGTCGGCCTGCCCAAGGATGCGTGTGAGGCCAATAAATAGTAGTACTAGAAAGTGGCTGGCAGCAGGTTACAACCGTAGCATGTCAAAAATTCCAAACGGTTTCCAGAGAGAGAGAGAGAGAGAGAGAGAGAGAGAGAGAGAGAGAGAGAGAGAGAGAGAGAGAGAGAGAGAGAGAGAGAGAGAGAGAGAGAGAGAGAGAGAGAGAGAGAGAGAGAGAGAGAGAGAGAGAGAGAGAGAGAGAGAGAGAGAGAAAGCGGATGAGTATCCGAGCGGATGGGTGTCCGAACGGATAGGTATCCGAACCGATAGGTATCCGAACGCATAGGTATCCGAACGGATAGGTATCCTAAGGAAGGGATGCGCATCGGTGATTGAGACGGAGGCAGGAAGCCGTGATTTCTTGTTGTCCGTTGGCGTTGCCAGCCAGCAAGCAGGGGGGTAGGGCGCAATCGCTTTGTTGCACCCACCCAGGCATGTTTGAGCACTTTTGAGGACTATGAGGAGTTCTGACGAGACTCGACAGGGGAGGACAGCGAGAGTGTGAACAGCTCTAGAAGGGGGACAACGGTGGTTCGGCGACAGGGACCCAGGAAAGTGGGAAGTGCGCGAGGCTGCCGTCCCCACGTCCGCTCTCGCTGCCTATACGCTATAGCACCGCTCCTGCTGGAACGGTAGAGGAAAGGGTCGGTGCTCCCCCGGACTGGGGAAATCTTGACAACGCATGCATTTACTCGTGCGAAGAGCAGCGCGATGGACCGAGAAGGGTGTGGCGGGACCAGTTGGATGTACGGGAAGTGAGTCGGAGGTTGCATCAGCCCTAAATGAATTTCTAATCAATGATATACCCCCTATATACTCTTCTAATGCATGATTTTGGACTGTGAATGTGATGTTCCACAGTAGAGGGAGTAACATTTGAATGAAAAGAGCATTTGAATGAGGTGTGAATAGCATTTGAACGAGGTGTGGAACATCACAATCACAGTCCAAAGTAAAGAATATAGGTACTGTGCGAAGCAATAAAGTGATCTCGAGGTGAACAGCGTCTGCGAGCTTCGACGATCTCTCGCTAGTGTCACTCAAACGCGTTTCTCTGTAGGTGAGCTGCTTGCTGCTGGCGCCAGCTGTGCGACACTCTCAGCCGAGCTCTGAGCCGCTCCTCGCCCCGTGTCGCAGGCCATTCGACGGCTCATGCGCTAGGTTCGCCCATGGCAGCGTGCGGCTTGCCGCGCGTCGCTGCCGTCTTGCACGCGGCAGCAACATCAGCTCAACCAGCTCTGTCGCGCCCGCTGCCGCCGCCCTCGGCCGACACGGTCGCGCCGGGTGTACCCGGTGGCCTCTCGCCGTCGCCAGCGCGCGCTGAACCGGAACCGCCGACGAAACCGCCTATAGGTGTGCTACGCGCCGAGGCACCGTGCGGGCCGGCCACCAGCCGTCGCCGCCACCACACTCGCTGCCCTCGGCTCTGCCGCCGTTTTGCGAGCTGCCTCGCTGACCGGTTGCGCGGCGTGTGAGTCGCTCTCCGCCCTCGGCGCGACTAGTCAGCGTTAGCGAGCGTGTGTGTTGCTGATCGAGCCGGCGGAGGCAGTCCCGAGGGCTCCGCGCAGAGACTCGAGCGTGTGGTAGAGCAACCGTACTCACTCGGCGAACCGTGAAATAGCGACGGTGCCATTTT